TGTGCATCTCTGGAGAAGACCAAACAGAGACTCCAGGGTGAAGTGGAGGACCTCATGATTGATGTGGAGAGAGCCAATGCTTTGGCTGCCAACCTTGACAAGAAGCAGAGGAACTTTGACAAGGTAAAAAGTTTGAGTCATTATGTAATATTCTCTTTTTAAAGTATTGCTGGAATGGACCTTAATCAACATGTTACAAACAAAACCTGACCCTGAAATATCTTCATAAAAGGTCCTGGCAGAATGGAAGCAGAAATATGAGGAAGGTCAGGCAGAGCTGGAAGGTGCCCAGAAAGAGGCTCGTTCACTCAGCACTGAGCTGTTCAAGATGAAGAACTCCTATGAGGAGACTCTGGATCAGCTGGAGACCCTCAAGAGAGAGAACAAGAATCTGCAGCGTAAGAATTCCTTTGTACAACATTTAATTAATTAACAAACTTAGTAGTGTTAAATCTGTAGAGATTCACAGCATATTTATGCTGATAATATTTTCTTTCCAACTTGTAGAGGAGATTTCAGATCTGACAGAGCAGTTAGGTGAGACTGGTAAGAGCATCCATGAGCTGGAAAAGGCCAAGAAGGCAGTGGAGACTGAGAAAGCAGAGATGCAGACCGCACTGGAGGAGGATGAAGTGAGTATCTGAAGATCAATATGTAAATCTGGCTAAAACCATTGTACTGTGTTGTTCATTTTGAAGTTCAAATGTTGTTTTTTATTATTAATAGGGCACTCTGGAGCATGAAGAGTCCAAAATTCTCAGTGTCCAGCTTGAGCTAAACCAGGTCAAGGGTGAGATTGACAGGAAGCTTGCAGAGAAGGATGAGGAGATGGAGCAGATTAAGAGGAACAGCCAGAGAGTCACTGAATCCATGCAGAGCACTCTGGACTCTGAGGTCAGGAGCAGGAATGATGCCCTGAGAATCAAGAAGAAGATGGAGGGAGACCTTAATGAGATGGAGATTCAGCTGAGCCACGCCAATCGCCAGGCTGCTGAGGCCCAGAAACAGCTCAGGAACGTTCAGGGACAACTCAAGGTATGTGACTTCTCTTTGACTTTAAGTTGCATTAGTATGTTTGTATAATCTAACCTATGTTTAGTAAAGACCAACAGAAAGCACACTGCAAGCTTATTGTAAAGCTATTGTTATGTTCAGGACGCCCAGCTGCACCTTGATGATGCTCTGAGAGGACAGGAAGACATGAAGGAGCAGGTGGCCATGGTGGAGCGCAGAAACACTCTGATGCAAGCTGAGATTGAGGAGCTGAGAGCTGCTCTGGAGCAGACAGAGAGAGGCCGCAAACTGGCTGAACATGAGCTGGTGGATGCCAGTGAGCGTGTCGGGCTTCTGCACTCTCAGGTAAAGGCATATTGTTTTTACAATGAAATTAAGGAAATTGAGAGCCTCATTTAAAATGTTTTTACTGTTGCAGAACACAAGTCTCCTGAACACCAAGAAGAAGCTAGAGGCTGACCTTGTTCAGATCCAGAGTGAAGTTGAAGACACTGTACAGGAAGCCAGAAATGCAGAGGAGAAGGCCAAGAAGGCCATCACAGATGTGAGAAACAGGAGCTGCCAAATGTTTCACAAAACACTTGTGTACCTAAAAATGTGGCTCTATATATATCTATATTCATGCAAAAGGCTGCAATGATGGCAGAAAAGCTGAAGAAGGAGCAGGACACCAGTGCTCACCTTGAGAGGATGAAGAAGAATCTGGAGGTCACAGTGAAGGACCTGCAGCACCGTCTGGATGAGGCTGAGAATCTGGCCATGAAGGGAGGAAAAAAACAACTATTAATTAATTTATATTTTATTAAATATATTTTAATATTCTAAACATATTTTCATTGAGTGAAATGTTTAATATTGTCTCTCATTTAGGTCCGTGAGCTTGAGGCTGAAGTTGAGGCAGAACAGAGACGTGGAGCTGATGCTGTTAAAGGTGTCCGCAAATATGAGAGGAGAGTCAAGGAGCTCACCTACCAGGTCCAAATTATTTTTTTGTAAAAGTTCAGGTCACATTGATCAGATTATGTTCTAGTCTGATGCATGTTCATTATCTGCAGACTGGGATAAGAAGAACATCAACAGACTGCAGGATCTGGTTGACAAGCTGCAGCTGAAGGTCAAGGCTTACAAGAGGCAGGCCGAAGAAGCTGTGAGTACTTTATTTGAGAACTATAAAGACCTTGAAAACATTTGAGATTTTCTATTCCTGATACACTGTAATTCTGTGTGGCTTAGCAGGTGGAACAAGCCAACGCTCATCTGTCCAAGTTGAGGAAGGTGCAGCATGAGCTGGAGGAGGCTGAGGAGCGTGCTGACATTGCTGAGTCTCAAGTCAACAAGCTCAGAGCCAAAAGGCGTGATGCTGGAAAGGTAATTATTTTTAAATGTATTTATTATTGATGAATATTCATCTAAATTTTTTGATAGTATGATCAAGTTTAGTCTATATCATCACTTTAAGACATCCCTTTTTTTAAGGGTAAGCAGGCCGCTGAGTAAAAGGCCTACAGCAAGTGTGACACTTGCAATATTGTAATAAAAACAAATAAACTTATTTTGACTCTTAAACCCTCTTGTTCATACTTTATATAATATCATATTTGTTTGTAAATAATACATATAAAGACTGCACTCACAGAATCTTGCACTATTATCTTGCAATGTCCAAAATCTCACATTCAAATGACAACTCACAGACAACCACATGAGACAGATCAGACACATAGGCCAGTTAAACCCCTCACTCAACAAGTAAACTAGGTGCCAGAAGAACTGTTCCTTAAAGCAAAATTCAATGTCATCTTGCCGTGCCAAATAAGAAGGTGCCATTGTCGCACAATTAAACCTGCGCAAAGAATCATGGGAGTGTTGATCAGTTGTACCCTTCAAAATCCTTCATCCCGAAGGGCCTTTTTAAGTGGCCAGTTTTGAGCACTTCGGTTTGGAACGACCCTTTAATGTGGCGGCCATGATTGTTCTCACTCTGAAGTGCCCCTTGGAGGCAGATTTAATTCATTTGGAATGCAGCAACTGTCAGGAGCATATGGTGCATTCAAGTCCTCCTGGGATGTTCGTATTTATGAGTTGACAAGTAGTAATTACGACATCAGTTGCATTCCGGTCACTTTGGTCGGTACAAGATGGCGATTTAACTTTTCTATGTAAAATTCAACTTTTTTAACTATACATCTACAAAATGATGAATAAAAATTGTTCATCATTGTGTTTTTGCTTTTTTCTATTTTTATTCAGGTGATGTAAACTGAATCATTATATATTCTATGGTAATTATACAATAATATAATATTTTATTCATTTCAACAAATTTGGACAACTTGCACAAATACTTCCGCATTCTGCACAGCTCGGGAGTTTCCAATTAGCATTTAGCGCACCTACATACAGACCATTTTTCATGAGAAAGCTGATTTTTACTTCGTTTTAGGGCTGGCAATTTTTGAAAAACAAGTATTCATATTCTCTGCGTTAACATGAATTATCTTCAACCTGCTGAAATATTCCTATGAATATGTTTCTCTTCCAAATAAGCATTCTGAATAATAAATAAATATATATCCCCACTAACCTGCCGAGGTCCAGCGCTTGTATTGACATTTTTCTCTTACTGATTATATTTCATATCTGTTGAATTTACAGTTTTAAATGAATTTGATTGATAAGCACAATTGCGAAAAATAACCATGGTTTTACATGGTAAAAGTGTAGTAGCTATGTTTTTTTTTTTTTTTTT